GAGTGTTGTGCACAAGAAGTGCGGAAACATGGCACCGATAGATCCTCTCCCGGAGTATCCTGCACAGTACCGACTACTATGGCCTTAGAGGCCATGAGATTCTGTGAGTGAAGAAACACCCCCCCAACCCCAACCCCAACCCCGCGAACCCACCGGAGGAACCTCTTCACTGACCTTCCCCCAAGCTCAGCGCATGTCGTGTCTCACTTTAAAAATGCTATCGACTCACTGGCCGGCATCGATAGCGTGGCGTCGAAGTATGGGACCGTTGTGTATGCCCAGGAGGTCTTGGTTCCGGAACTGCTGGAGATGTTGGTTCAGGAGGACATGGGAGTCGATGCCAAAGGGGCCTGCTGGATTCTGAAGGAGAGCAACAAAATCGGGAATTTGCTTAATCTTGAGTGAATCGGGGAACATCCTTGTAGTAGATTATTTAGCTGATTTAGTAAGCTGTCTAAGAAGTGGAGTGGATTTAATTACAGAAATAATTGGACACGTTAAACGGTATGCATTGAGCAGGCTAATATAAATGATGCTTATTCACCAGAACTTCCGCGTTTGATTTTTGTCTCACGGACAGCCACGGCAAGGTATGAATCCTACAACTCTGATATGGCATTTATCCATCTACGAATAAAAATTTTACAAAATTAAACAGTAGATACATTATGCCCTCAAGATAGATCTCTCCAACAAGCTCTTGTGGGCTCCACTTGAGTTAAAGGTCAACAAATTCATCAAAGGTCAGATGTTCGTCCAAGCGCTTTTCTACAACTTGCTGCATCTTCATCCGATGCGCACCTGCGTCACCCGTTGAGAAGAGCGGATTAGGGTAATTGATTTCACATGTCTTTGCTTCTCTGCCCACCTTAAACACCCTCAAACCACTTGTGTGCCAACGCCTCGTGAGCAGTGATCCTCTTTTCCGGATCAAAATTCGTCGTTGCGCGGATAAAACTCTTAAAATCATCATCAACACCCTTCCAAAGGAAAAATGGTCTGCGCGGGTTGTTTTTGTTGAAACCATCCCGAATTACTTCAAAAACACGAATCCAGGGATTATCGCCAAGGTATTTCAAAAACCCATTCAGTGCGTCTTCATCTGCAAAGTACGAGATTTGGCGCTCAATTACAATAGCCAAGGGATCCACACCTTCGTCCAACTCCTCTTCCCCAACGGCAAAGATGACACGTTTATGCATCGCATAAATACACTATATAATAAGTGAGAATCCAAGGGTTTATAGGCGTGGAGATTGACGACAAACTTACAACAAGAGCAAAAGAGAAAATATCAGATGGCTTATTCACAGGTCCTTTGGCGTGGGCTTCAGGACTCCTCCACATCCAGTTCCCCACCTGTTTTCCAATCATATGTGATCCAGGAGGGATATGCGCGGCATCTTCAAGGTCACCAAGTTGGACTCGATCAATAACGATTCCATCCCGGTCACCTTTCCAGTCGATAAAAACATTGTCCGGCTTGATATCTACCCAGAATAAGTCACCACTCACCGTTCCTCGAAAGGTGTAACCTACCTGTATGGACAATATCTTGATCATGGAGTTCTGCGATTCCACGAAGAGCACGCTTGAGGATCTCTTTTTTCACTTTGAGGGGCAAGTCCTTCTGAGTGATATTTAGGAGATGATCCGCGTAGTACTCGAAAACAAACATTGACTTCTCGGGGATGGTGTCTTGGACGAGACGGACATGATCAGCACCACCGCGTAGCCTATTATTTATCTCTTGAAGGTCCCCGAAATTAACCGTGTGAATATACTTCAAGATGAACTTTCGGTCGCCAGCACTGAGGAAGTCGTGAGTATGTAACTTCGAGAAGGGTAATCAGTACCAACTCACGTAGCAAGGCAAACCCGCCGTGGGGGAGATGTCTCTTCCTGAAGTACCCGTTCGATCCTATAACTGTGGCCAGACTGGCCGATGTACCCCCCAGAGTCTGCCAGGGCAGTTGACATTGTCTTTATTCTGCGATGAAGGGTGGTATTTGGTAGTAAAGCCGGTTTGCAGTTGGAGAGGTTCCGCGTCGCGAGATTTAAATATGCCTTGTTTCTGCAAGAGCGAACCGCCGGGAAAGAGAGTGAGCCTAATGATAGCATGAGAGGCAACCAAATCGGAGAAGGTGCTGTTGATATTCTAGCAATATCTGGACCGACCAAAGTTCCATTTCCTGGTCAAAATTAGTTAAGCTAGTTAACTAGTTATTCTTCTTTTGTTAGGTAAGTATCGCTGAGCGTGGGATGGTCTGATGTTTGAGCCGCGGCGCTTGTACCAGAAGTATATAGATAAGACTGCAAGTTCAAAATCAACTCTTTATCTGCTGTCAGATTCCACGACAATTTCTGTTCATCACACTTTTACAGCAGCGCATATCTGGTATGGATTTGTTCTACAAGAACCCACTGGCGGGTGTTGAAACGACCGATACCCGCCGTTTATCCAAGGCAATTGATGCAGCGAGCTGGTCGGCATTTCTGCAAGTTCCGTTTGAAGAATGGGTTTTGAAAGCAGCTGGGAGCAACGCACATTTGGTGGATACATTCCTTTGGTACCATGAAGTGCTCAGCGTTCGGCTGTACTACCGCCTTCGACGGTGTTCAAAGGCGCAGAAGGTCAAAAGCGACCTTCAAGGGGTAAGCCGAAACCAGTTGCTTTGTTTGCATTGTGTGCTAACCTCGAGGGAAGATCATCGCTGAAGTAAACCCTTTTGCACGCACGGTGATATTGAGCGGCATCGAATCGCTGAACGGACGGATTGTGAACTGTGATCTGAATATCGACTTCATCATTGGCCCTCTGCGTGATATCCCAACCGATGATCTGACCCCGGACGTATTGAGCCTCCTGGATATTCGCTTTCGGCGGACCTATCACCGACAACGGGATAACGATGAGATAGCCGAATTTCGAACTGACACCTCACTTTTCCGCGGCATTAGTCACACGCCGCCTGGATTACTAGCCAGTTCAATCACAGAAAACGACCTGAGGTCCTTCCGCGATGATTATGCTCTCATGTTCATGGGGGTCAATGGGCTCCACAAGTGGCTCAGTGCCTTGAGTCATTCTTGGAATTGTCGATGTGAAGATGTTGCTGACTGTCTTCAAGCTGACTCAAAGCACGGTGCTGCGTTAGTCGAACTTGCTTTGGTAAGCCTTAATGCTGCATTCTTGCCCACTGGTTCTTTTTTTAACGCGCGATCATAGTGCTTATACGAACGTCGAAATTTTCACGGGTCGACTGCGATATTCTACAGTTTGAAGCAAGCTGGGTGTGACGGCGAGATGATTCCCCTGCAGCTGTCGAGCATCGTCAACTATCGAACGTATCGCGACGAGTTAAAAAAGGGACCGGCATTGCCATTCGCGTTTCTCTCTATCAAAGAGCTCCCGTTGTTGATTGACTGCCTCAGCCGCCACAGACCATCCTCCCTGGAGTACAAAAAGTATTTGCAGGGTGTATTGTGTACAATCGAAGAGCTATTCGTATTTAGGTATTACATCGCCGACACGAGCAAAGCGACAGGCACCATGCAGCGGATTGGAAGGCTTCTCAATATCAATTTATGTTTCTACTTTTAG